TTCAAGGAATTCTAGACGCTTCGCGTGTCCCCGCCGGCCCGTCTAGAAACGACGCCCAGGCGAGTAGAGGGTCGTCTTGAGGGGCTTTTCGGCGTCTTGGGTGCCTCGGGGGGGGGCCTCTGTCGGCCGTTCGGGATCCTCTTTGGGGCCTCCTGGGGGCCTCTTGGGGCCTCTTGGGGCCATCTTGGGGCCTTTGGGGGCCTCCTGGGCGCTTCTTGGGGCCATCTTTGCCCCCTCAGGAGGCCAAAACGGGGCCAACATCTCAGTAAAATCAATGATTTGGGCTTCCTCGCCGAGGCCGTTTTGGACGCTCTGACCGCTCGCGGCCCCCCCCGTCCAGGTCCACGGGGAGGGGGTAGGGGGAGGGGTAAACCCCTCCCCGAAGGGAAAGAGGGAGGGGTGGAAGAGGAAACGCCTTAAACCACCGACGCCCAGAGGGCTGGTGGGATTGCCTCGATCAGGGAAGTGGACAGCACACAGAGGAAGCCAGTATGAGACATCTTGGGATTTCCTGAGCCATCTTGGAGGTCATTTTGGGCTCTCCGAGGCGCTCTTGGAGTCATCTTAATCAGTGCCCCCCCCAAGAGGCCAACATGTGGCTAAAACCTTAGTGCAAACAATGGTTTGACATTATCGCCGAGGCCTCTGGGAGCACCTTGGGTGCCTCTGGGGGGTCTCTTGGGGCCTCTTGGGGGTCTCTTGGGGGCCTCCTGGGGGCCTCTTGGGGGGCCTCTTGGGGCCATCTTGGGGCCATCCTGCGGCCTCTTAGGGGCATCCTGGGGGCCTCTTGCGGCCATCGTGGAGGAAATCGATCAAAGAAGATGAGAGCTTTAATTAGCCCTGCCCCCTCAGAAGGCCAAAATGGGGCCACAACCATAGTAAAATCAATGATGTTGGCTTCCTCGCCGAGGCCGTTTTGGACGCTCTGACCGCTCCCCGCCCCTCCTGTCCAGGTCAGTGGGGAGGGGGTGGGGGGGGGGGTAAACCCCTCCCCGAAGGGGAAGAGGGAGGGGTGGAAGAGGAAACGCCCTAAACCACCGACGCCCAGAGGGCTGGTGGGATGACAACCAGGTCGCAGGCGAAAGCATGTGGCCTTCTCTGGCGGGTCTTGCCATGGTTTCACCATGCCCGAAAGTCCGAACCTGCAAGTTGGCATGCAGGGATTGTTCGAGTCTGGGGACGAAATGGTGGGTGGGTTGGGAATCTCCTCCCCGGTCTGGGGAAGGTCTGCGTCGATCCGGCTGGCCAAGGCACGGCTCATTAGTAGGTGGGCAGCGTTTAACCCGTGCTAGCGTGTTTCAGGGCGTTTTCCTTCTCCTTCAGGTAGGGTTCGGTGGAGCCGAATCGGAACTGGCAGCGCCCCAGGCAATGCCTGTTGGGTCTGTGTTTTAGTTCACCTGTGTTTTAGTTCACCTGTGGGGTCTGTCGGAACTGCTGTCCGAGGAGCGCGCCTGTGTTCTAGTTCACCCTTCAAGCGAATGTCAAAAACATGTCCTCCTCCCCCTCCTCCTCCTCCTCCTCGTCCTTTTCCTCCTCGTCCTCCTCCTCCTCCTTCTCCTCCTCCTCCTCCTCCTTCTCCCCCCTCCTCCTCCTCCCCACTCCTCCTCCTCCTCCTTCTCCTCCTCTCTCCTCCCTCCTCCTCCTCCTCCTCCTCCCCCTCCTCCTCCTCCTCCTCCCTCCTCCTCCTCCCTCCTCCTCCTCCTCCTCCGCCTCTCCTCCTCCTCCTCCTCGCTCCTCCTCCTCCTCCTCCCCCCCCCCTCCCCATCCTCCTCCTCCTCCTCTCCCTCCTCCTCCTCCTCCTCCGCCTCCTCCCCCTCCTGCCTCCTCCTCCTCCTCCTCTCCTCCTCCTCCTCTCCTCGTCCGTCCTCTCCCCCTTTCCAACCCTCCTCCTCCTCGTCCTCGTCCCCTCCTCCTCCTCCTCCCCCCCTCATCCTCCTCCTCCCCCTCCTCCTCATCCTCCTCCTCCTCCCTCCTCCTCCTCCCCCTCCTCCTCCTCCTCCTCCTCCCCCTCCCCCTCCTCGTCCTCCGCCTCCTCCTCCCCCCCCTTCGCCTCCTCCCTCCTCCTCCTCCTCTCCATCCCCGTCTCCTCCTCCGCCTCCTCCTCCGCCGCCTCCTACCCCTCCCCCTCCCTCCTCCCCCTCCCCCTCCTCCTCCTCCTCCTCCTCCTCCTCCTCCTCTCCTCCTATTCGCTCCTCCACCTCCCCCTCCCCCTCCTCCTCCTCCTCCACCCCCCCCCCTCCTCCTACTCCCTTTTTTCCTCCTCCTCCTCCTCCTCCTCCTCCTCCTCCTCCTCCTCCTCCTCCTGGAAATGGAGTGGACTGCAGGTGCGTGAGGGACGTGAGTGAGGCCCGCAGTGTGAGCATCTCTTTTTGTGTGCTTGTATTTATTGTGCTCGTGAATTGTGTGCCGCTGCAACATGTGCATAGTGAGTTTTGTCTGCCCGCGGAAGTGAAAGTTCGGAGATGTGTTGTTGGGATTTAGCTGGCCATTGCACGGCTGGCCGCCGCATGAATTTTTTAGTGCGACCTCGTCCCAGTTTCATTGAAGTCGTTGCTTCTCTTAGTTTTGGTGTTAAAACGGGGATCCCTCCTGCTGTCGTCTCGTCCCTTCCCCCTCCTCTCGCCCCTCCCGCTCCTCCTGGGCCGTGGGCCTCTCCTCCCCCCCCCATCGGGGGCCGTCCCTGGCTGGGGGCTGTGTGAAACGCTCCCTCCTGGGCGTCCGCGTGCGGGCGCCTAGGGGGGAGCCTTTGCCTGCCTCGGCCAGGTACGGCGCCTGCTCGCCCTTGGTCTCCCGCGTCGTTGCTGCGGGCCGCACACGGGCTACGCCCGAAACTCGTGCCATGCCGTTCGTGTCCCACGTGTCGTGTGGTGCCGAGCTTACTGTAATGAGGGGGTAACCCCACCACACTCCGTAGTCCGTGCTGATTTGGACTCATATGGAGCTCCGCCGCCGCCGCCTCCTCCTCCTCCTCCTCCTCCTCCTCCTCCTCCTCCTCCCTCCTCCTCCTCCTCCTCCTCCTCGCCCCTCCCCCTCCTCCTCCTCCTCCTCCTCCCCTGTTACTCCTCCTCCTCCTCCTCTCCTCTCCTCATCCTCCACCTCCTCCTCCTTCTCCTCCTCGTCCTCCTCCTCCTCCGCCTCCTCCTCCTCCTCCTACTCCTCCTCCTCCTCCTCCTCCTCCTCCCCCTCCCCCTCTTCCTCCTCCTCCTCCTTCCCTTTTTTTTTTTTTTTTGCCTCCCTCCTCTCCTCCTCCTCCTCCTCCTCCTCCTCCTCCTCCTCCTCCTCCTCCTCACTCCTCCCCTCACTCCTCCTCCCTCCCCCCCCCTCCTCCTCCTCCTCCTCCTCCTCCTCCTCCTCCTCCTCCTCCTCCTCCTCCTCCTCCTCCTCCTCCTCTCCTACTCCTCCTCCTCCTCCTCCTCCTTCCTCCTCCTCCTCCTCCTCCCCCTCCCCCTCCTCCTCTTGTGCTCGCCGCCGAGAACCCTCGGGGAACCCGCCCAGCGACTGGGGGTTCTCGCGAGTCGCCCGGGAGCGGGCACGTGCGCCAACGAGGGGACACCTCGGGTAGCCCGCCCAACGCACGGGGCGTCCACGAGCGGGCACGGGCGCCAGCGTGGCGAGAGCCCGGGGAGCCCATCTGCTGGCTTAGGAGAGCCACGCAAGAAATGTTCAAGCGCAAGCACTCCTTGGGGAGCCTCTTTACATCACACACACATGTCTGTGCAATCATGCAATAGCATACACATAGTTCGATTGCTAATGCACATGTAGTTGTATCAGCAATTGTATATGCCTCTAACACGCAAGCAGTCACACCCATTCACATGCATACATACATACATACATACATACATACATACATACATACATACATATATACACATACGCACATACATACAAACATATGTACGCAAGTACATACGTACATACGTACATACGTACAACTATGCGCACATACAGACAGACAGCCAGACAGTCAGACATGCATACATATGTACATACATACATGCACACATACATACATGCATGTCTGTATACATAACTACATACAGGCATACAGGCATGCATACATGCATACATGCATACATGCAGATATACACATTTACACAGTCATGCAGACATGCATACATACACACGTGCAGTCAGAAATACACACAAGCACACTTACTTATATACATACGTGTATTCATTCATGTTTAACTACATGCATACACACATATATGTACACATGCATACACACAACCATGCATCCATACATACATATGTATACACATACCTGCACACATGCATGCATACATACATACATTCGTGCATGCATGTATACATACATATAGGTGTACATGCATACTTCCATATCGATACCTCCATACATATATGTGATATATATATATATATGCGTGTCCACAATTTTTTATACACAGACATGCATACAACAGTCATACATACATACATACATACATACATACATACATACATACATGCATGCAATCATACACGCGTACAGTCATGCATTAATGTATGCATACATGCACACCTGCATGCATGCATCTATACATACGTACATGCATACATACATACATACATATACATACACACCTCCATGCAGATATGTATGCATGCATGCATACACATACACACATTTATTTGTATACACATACTGATATCCTAGGCCTCCAACGCCGTGATTCTCTTATCAGCGCGAGCCTCCGCAGTTCTCGGCCCCAACCATGGGGCAGTTCTCTTCGGCCGCTGCCCGTTTCTTGACCTTCCCCCCTGAACCGAAATACGCTTTCGGCCCCCCCCCCCGGACGCCGACGTCGGCGCGGAAAAGTTGGGCTGTCGTGATCCGGCGGCCCCGGCGATGCCGCCGAAGGGCGCCGAGAGCAGGCGAAGCTGGCAGCGAAGCGACGCCCGGAGGCCCTGCGTATCTCCTGGCCTGTCAGGCCGACGTCCACGGGAGACCTGCGGAGGCGGGCGGGCGGGCGCGCTCCCCTCCGGGCCAGGAGGTGTTCCAGCTGATCATGCCCGCGGTGGTGCGCTACCTGGAGGAGACCTGCTCGCCCTTCGCATTCGTCCGCCTCCTCCTGCTCCTCCCGCCGCACCCCGTCACGAGTGCGCAGCATGGTGCAATAAGTGCTCTCTCCTCTCTCTCTCTCTCTCTCTCTCTCTCCCCCCTGGAGGGCGTCCTGAGAGTGGCGCGTCCACCTCTCCGTAATCTTTCTGATAAAGCAGGAATGGTACGAGCTTGTTTCTGTTGTGTGTTTTTCGAATACGCACGGTCCTGCCAGAATGGTGCCCCCGCTGCAGCGGTGGCCTCATGTTAGGTTCGGCGCCGTGCTGCTCCCCTTATTCAGAAGGGCGCTCTCGCCCCAGCGCGGGCCACATTTCCGGATCCGAATGCTCCCTTTCTTTTCTGTTCCCCGGCGTTTCCTTGGTCCTCTTGCACCCCCCGCTCTTCCTGCTCTTGCTTCCGCAGTGAATCCCCGTCCCCCTGATTCTTCATCCTCCTCGTGTCCCTCCTGCTCATCCTCCTGCTCATCCGCCACCTTCTCATCTTCCAATGTGCACATCTCCCAGTTTCAGATTGCGCGTGACACGATGGAGTCATTTTGGGTGCTCCAGGTCCGCTCTGACACCCGTCGGCTGATCGAGAAACACCAGCGCAACGGGAAGGGATGGGAGGGAGGGGGAGGATGTCGGATACGGCACGTCCCGTTCCCCCCCCCCCATCTCCCGCTCCTCCACCTGCTACTGCTCCTCCCTCTCCCACCAGCTTTACCGCGGCCATTGGCATTGGGTTTCGGCCATCCCCGTTACTTTGAGGAGAGCGCATCCAGCTTGTCCCCTTCCCCCCCTCTCCCGCTCCTTCATCTGCTACTGCACCTTCCCCCCCCACCAGCTCCACCGTGGCCACTGGCATTTGGTTTCAGCCATCCCGATTACTTCAGGATGCGGCCCCGTTGTCGTGCAACTATTGGTTTCTGGGGTAACGGACTCTCCCGTAAGTTGCCCAACAGTCTCCAGTATTTCGCCCATGACCACCTCATCCCTAAAGATGGGCTTAGGTATCCTTTGAGCCTATAGCCTATAGCGAGCTTGATAACCCTCCCCCTCCACCTCACCCTCACCATACCCCTCCCCCCATTCTGCTCCCTCCTCCCCTGGCCTGTCCGCATCCCCTCGGCTGGCGGCGGCGGCGTGGTCGACGGCGACGTTTACGACGGCGGCGACGACAACGACGGCGACGGCGCCGGCGACGACGACAACGACGGCGACGGCGACGGCGACGACGATGACAGCGACGACGACGATGACGAGTAGAACGGCGACGACGACGAGTAGAACGACGATGGCGGCGGCGGCCCCGTAGGAGACCCAGAGGGCCATGGCGCGCCAGCAGCAACCCCGCGGCCGGCCTGGGTGACCGGCACCCCGCCAGGGCGCGGCGTTGTGGGCCGTCCGCCTGCGGACGCGCAGGGATTCCCAGGGGGGAGGCCCCCCCCCTCATCCTCATCATCCCCCTCTCCTCCTCTTCCTCCTCCTCTTCCTCCTCCTCTTCCTCCTCCTCTTCCTCCTCCTCTTCCTCTTCCTCCTCCTCCTCTTCCTCCTCCTCCTCCTCCTCCTCCTCCTCCTCCTCCTCCTCCTCCTCCTCCTCCTCCCAGGGAGGGTGGGGAGGGCTCGAAACAACCGAGACGGAGCTTGTGCGTCGTTTTCGGCTTCTCGTGGCCCTTACCAGGCCTCGGGACCTTCAAAACACGACTCGGGATCCAGAGCCGGTCCTGGGGAAGTGCTCGAGAGGTCGGGGACTGGAGAAGGCGGGGCCGGCGGTCCGAGGCGGAGATGTACCCATGACCACCGCTTGGGGGGTCGATCTCCTGGGACCTAGGGCGGCGGTGGATCTGGACATGGTCGGGCCCCAGTCAAGGGAGAAAAATCCGCCCACATCCCGCCAATTTGCGTTCACTGAACGGTCCTGGGCGTTTACCAAACAGCCCTGCCCTGTTCGATTCCTTCCATCTGGGTGCGTTTGCTAAACGGCTTCGCTTGTCGGGGTGCTTATCATGGGGGTGGATGTTCGGCCCCCGACCGCTGGGGGCCCAGATAGATCCATCCGCACCGCCCGCTGGGGTCCCAGCACGTCGGCCCTCCAGGCGGTGGACGTGTGCAGGTCACCGCCTCGCAGGCGGGCGTTGCCCAGAGGCGTCCCTGGCCCGAGGCGCTCCAAGGACTCCCAAGGCGGCCCCCCGCGGTCTGCAGAGCACCCCTCGCGAGGCCCAGGAGGTCCCCGGGGCGGCGCGAGAGGCTGGGGGGCGCCTTGGGCCAGGGGCGCGTTTCCAGCAGAGCCCTCGGGGCAGAGCACCCCTCGCGAGGCCCAGGAGGTCCCCAGGGGCCCCGGGAGGGCGCGAGAGGCTGGGGGGCGCCTTGGGCCAGGGGCACGTCTCCAGCAGAGCCCTCGGGGAGGGAGGCGGGATCGAGGGCAGAGTTGGGCGCTCCAGAGGAGGCCTTCGCCCTCGGCCGGCGGCGTGCGACAGGGGGGGTGGCTGGCCCAGCGCCGTCCCGGCGAAAAGGGTGGCGGCAGCGACCAGGCCCACGATGGCGATGACGGCGTGGACAGTACAGTCCAAAACCCTAATAAGGACGCGCGACTTTGCTCAGGGTGCCCTTGCGTCCTTGCTCCTCCTTGCTCTTGCGTCCTTGAGGTTTTCGTCGTCCGCCGCCACAAAAATCCCAACTTCGACTTCCAAGGGTCTGGCGTCCTTACCGCGCGTCCTTATTCAGGTTTTTGACTGTAAGGCGGAGCGTGGATGCATACAGGTCGGCGTGGGCGAAGCGGCGATGGCGACGGCGACTTCGACGACGACGGTGGGGTCGGCGGTGACGACGACAGCGACGGTGATGACGGCGACTTTGACGACGACGACGACGACGACGACGACGACGACGACGACGACGGCGGTGTTGGCGGTGACAACGACAGCGACGGTGATGACGGCGTCGGCGTCGGCGACGACAGCGATTACGACGGCGGCGGGGGCGGCCTCGGAGATAACTGCGACGGCGGCGGCGACGGCGGCTGCAGAGACGGCGACGGCGACGACGGCGACAGCGGCCGCGGCGGTGGCGACGGCACCGAGGACAGCGACGGCGGCGGCGATGGTGTCCGTGGCAGCGTCGACGCCGCCGAGGACCGCGGCGGCGGCGGCCGCGGAGACGGCGACGCCGAAGACTGCCGCGACGGCCGCGGCGGCAGCGGCTGCGCTGGCCACGGCCCTTGCGGCGGCAGGCGAGGAAGGACCTGCCGCCCGCGCCGGCCCATGCCGGCCTCAGGTGGGGGCGGGCGCGGAGCCCTGCCGGGGGCGGGGCGCGCCGCCATGCCCGCCGCCTCGGGCGAGGGGCAGCGGGCGCAGGCCCGGCCGCCCGCCCCCGCGAGCTCGGCGGCCGCCGGAGGCCCTCGGAGGCCCTCGGAGGCCCTCGGCGGCCCTCGGCAGCCCGGCTGGCGTCGCGCAGGGCGGCGGCGACGTCGCCGTCGAGATCCCCGTCGCCGCGTCGTTGTCGCTGCCGCCGTCGCCACCTTTGCCTTCGCCCTCGTCACCGTGCCGCCTCCGCCTTCGCCGCCGGCGCTGCCGCCGCCGTCGCCATCACCGCCGTTGCCGTCACCGTCGCCGTCGTCGTGTCGCCGCCGCCTCCGCCACCACCGCCGCAGTCGCCATCGCCGTGTTGCCGTCCCCATCGCCGCCGCTGCTGCGGTCGCCGCCGCCGCGGCCGACGCCGTCGTCGTCGCCACCGTCGCCGACCGCAGTTCTCGAACGAGCGACCCCAAGGGACATGGTGAAATTCCCAAGCTGGGGCCCAGGGGAGCTTCCATCTGCCTCAGGCACTCTCGTGGCTGTGGACACAGAGAGTTCGGACAGTGGGATTACTCGTTCCCTCACCTCTCCCACTACATTCGGTATGGTTTGTTGCAAGGCCAGTGGACCCATGTCGACCACATTTTGTGCCAACTCACTTCCCTCAGTCACTGCAGTGTGAGGTGATTTCGCAAACGTTCCTGGGCCTCTCAGGCTAATATCCTCTCGTTCCATGGTTTCTCCGCGGCCCGCGGTAGACTTCGGCTAGGATTTCTTTCTCACTCTGAGCTCCGCCCACGCTCATGCATCCCCTATCCTCATGATCACGCGCGTCAGACTCCCAGGATACATTCTCTGGGACAGGTCATGTTGGCCATCTCTCTTCCTCTTCCCCTCAGGGATTTTTCAGTGCGGTAGGTCCGATGGTGCTGTTCACCTGTGGTCCAGTGCCGCACGTTGTTCTCGAGTCGCGGCGCCGCCAGGGCTATCCCAGGCAGCGCACATTGGAACTGACCTGGCCACTATGCTATCCCTGCGCTCCGTTTCCCTTGTCATGTTGCGCTGCTCTGGCTGCTGCTGACAAGCTCACTCCTGGCGCATGGACACAGTTTTTTGTAGGACGCTCCCAGTGGTGCATCTGCTTTCAGCGAGCGGCTTGACTTGCCTGGCATTCTTGCCGCTGCTTGGCAAAGACGGATTGAATCCGACTCCCGTCATTCCTCCCTCCCCCCTTGTTCTGCGCCTCGTCCTTTCTCCTACTGCAGGGGAGAGAGGAAGGATCATCGGCACAACTGTCCTGCTCAGCGTGCTTCTCGTGCGCCGCAGGCGATGGCGGTTGAGGGCACGGGGAAGGCCCGCTCTCGCTTGCTTCTGCCAGGGAAAGTAGGGGTTCAGCACACCAGGAGGTTTTTGTGATGAAGCGGAGAAGAAGAAGGAGGGATGAAAGGCAGGAGGACACCCCTCAGGAGTACGGCGAGGAGAATTCTGGAGTAGTACGGCTCTTGTTGTCTGGGGTATTTCAGTGGGTTCAAAGGGTGTCTAGGGGTCGGTTCTAGTGGGGCGGATGAGGTTGAGGATCATTTGTTATTGGGATGATGTGACGTCTCGGGGAACTGCGGAAGACGAGGGAGAGCAGCATCACCAGAGAAAAACATAGAATTCGGGGTCCTCCCTCCCCGCTCCACCACCGCCGCCCCGTTTCCCTACCAATCTTCACGTCCTCCTTACCCTCCCGCCCCTGTGGGGGCAGCAAAGGGTAGGAATTAGGGGCAGGGGCAAGGGGCACCAGACGGAGTCAGAGCCAGGAGCAGACTTCGCAGCAGGATGCGAGTTGGAGAGGGGGCAGGGGCCAAGCCGGCCAGCTCGACCGAGACCGCAGGCCCCGCCCCCTGCCCGCTGCCCACCCTCCCGCGGCACGTGGCCACGGCTCCTCTGGCGCGGCGGGAGACGCTGGGCCCGGCGCGCGCTCCTGCCCACGCGGGGCGGAGGACGCTCGCGCTGGCGCGGCGCGCGGCCCTGCTTCCGACGGCCTGGCGAGGGGGACGAAGACGCGCCGCGCCCAGGAAGGAGCGCAATGTCAGTGTCGCTTGACCGATCCCCGTCCCCATCCCCGCCCCCTTCGAGAGCCCCACCAATTCCCCCCCCCAGTTGGGGATACGCCCCCTCGAACCCCGAAGGGAACGGCCCATATCCCCATCTAGGGGGGCAAGTCGGCCAGTGGGGCCCAGGCCACGCCCCTGGGGATGGGGATCGGTGAAACGATGCTCAGAGGGGGAAGCAGATGCGCCGCGCCCAAGGCGGAGCGCATTGGGGGGAGGCGACCTTGCGCGCGAGCCGAACAAAAAAGCCGCGCTCCGCTCGCCGGCGCGCGAGCCGGCCTCCCCGACGGCAGGGGCGACTCGGAGAGCGCGCGCGCCCGGGCCGTGCGAGGAGCGCGGCTGCCTGGAAGCTCTCGCGCATCGCTTGGGGCGAGGGTCCCGGTGTCGCCCTCGCGGCCGCGGCCCCGTCCGTGTGCGGCGGCGGGGCGAGCAGGAGCTGGGCGCCGCGCCCGTGTGGGAATCCAAGGTGTTGGGAACGGGAGCGGCGCTGGGGCGAGAGCAGCACGCAGCTCTGTCGCGCGCGGTGTGCGCCGCGTCGAAGAAGCAGCGTCCATGTTGCATGGCTGACTTGGTGGGTAGGATGGAAGTGCCTGGATAAGGTTGCGGCCGAGCCGCTGGTCATGGGAGCGACTGGATCTACTGGCAAGGCCAGGATACGGGGACACCGGGGGCAAGCTTGAGCAGAAGCAGGAGCGCAGGTCAGGAGCATGCGTGTATGCAGGGGCAGGCGTTGAAGCGACACTACCAGCTCTGGAGCGGGAGAGCAACAGGAGCGGGAGGCCGTTAACTGGCGGGAGGCGCACCAGTAACACATTGCAAGACTCCACGATGGCGCGTTTTGCGGGGGAAGGGACAACGCCATGGGGGGTGGGGGGGGCAGAGCCCTCGGCCTTCCTCTTCCTTCTTGGCCGCCACTATCACCATCGTCATCCTCCGCTCTTACCTTCCCTCCTCTTCACCCTCTTCCCAGGAGGCAACACGCACACAGACACAACTGATCGCTAATGCTCAGGAGAATGTGGGAACAGATTGGAAGTGGGAGGGAAGACGAAACACCAGACACTATGGAACATACAAGGAATCCTGGGATGTGTGCCTATTTGTTGGGTGTCCCTGGGCCCCGTCATCTTCCTCCTCCTCAATTCTCCCGCTGACTCTCCGAGTCCTCTTCAACCCCCTCCCCCCTTGCTGCTGCTGCTGCTGCTGCTTCCCTTCTCCTCCCCCTTCCCGCCCTCCTCCCTCGTGGCACACCTCCCTCCCTCGTTCCTCCACCGGTCTCCTCCTGCTCCTCATCACTCTCCTCCCCTCGGCCCTCGCCCCCCCCCCCCCCCCTTCCCTCCCCTCCCCCTACCCTCACTTCCTATGACCCAATCCGTTTGCTCGATGGCGACGACGACGACGACCAGCGACCAGCGACCCCGTGGCTCAGCCCGAGCCGCTCGCGCAGCGGTGCCCCCCCCCCCCCCGCACGAGGAGCTGAGCGCGGGTCAGCCGCCGTCGGATACGGAGCCCGCCCGTCTGGGGCGGGGCGCGGCGGCGGCCGCCGCCGAAGCCGCCGCCGCCGCCTCGAGCGATCGGGGGCTCGAGGGCTCGAGGGCGCGAGCGCTCGAGGCCTTCGGGCGAGGGGGCGGCCGCCGCCGAAGCCGACGCCGCCGCCTCGAGGCGCGGGCGCTCGCGGCGACGGGCGCCGCGGGCGCTCGCGGCGAGGCGACGGGGCCGCCGGCGGACGCGCGGAGCCCGCCCGGGGCGGCGCGCGGCGGCCGCCGCCGGCCACCGCCCCCCCGACCGAGGCCGCCGCCGCCGCCTCGGGGGTTCGCGGCCCGAGGGCGTCTTGGGCTGCGCCTCCCCAGAGGTCCAGCGCCTCCGCAGGAGTCGAGGCCGCGGCCCGTCGCCGCCGTCGGCCTCTGAAGAGGCCCACGGCCCGGCTGCGGGGCCGTCGACGGAAGCCTAGTCGGGATGCGAGAAGCCGGTCGTGGAGAACGGGTCGAGACTCGGGAGCCTTGAGACGGGGGTCAATGCAAACGGGGGTCAGCCACGGCTCCGGATCCTGCAGGATTCTGCGAAGATCCCCTCTGGCTGACCCGGGTTAGCGAGCCGTTCGTGGCCGCGAGGCGG